GGATGTTATCCTTGTTTAAAGGTACAACTGAAAACATCTCAGAAAGAGTTGAAAATAGTTTATCATGGGAGAAGAAACAGGAACAGTAATGAAACCAACCACATCCTCCTTCTTAGGAATTTTAGAGGTGTTTATAAAAATCACTGTTGGGTATTGACTTAAGCCCTCTCGAAGCTATCCTGTGTTTCTGTCTTCCTTCTCATTGGCTAGGTCTCTCTTTCTGTCTATCATTTCTCAATTCCCCATTCCTCTACCTAAAAACCCTTCAAAAGGTGGGAGTAGGTTGGAGCTGGACTCCCACAAGAAGAGCAAGTGAAACCTATGTACGGTCGATCTGTCGATGGCGCCCAGGAGAGTCTGTCTTTTATTCCTTACCTAGTTACCTAGTGTATACTCCAACTGGAGCGTGGGTGTGTGGTCACAGCTATTCCAGCTAACCATTTTAGCATCACCATTCTGGTTTCTATAAACTCTGTCATGTTTACCATGGTTTCCCCAAGGACTGAGCCTGGAACACCAAGGACACTTAGTGCACATTTCCTGAGCAAATAAATGATTGCTTTAAATAGTGATGATAATTATATTACATGTTTACAGAGTCCAGTCTTGTTAAGATTTTAATTTTGAGTGTTAAACCCAATCTGCAGTCTTCACTGAGAGACAAATGTCTTTCTATTATAAGTTCTTTTTCCATCTACAAGTTGTGTTACTAGTGATTGTGTCGCTTGGCCCTTATCTTGGATTGCTACTTATGTTTTCTTCTTTTTTAATCACTTGGCTCTGTGTGTTTCCTAGTGATGAGATGCCATCATATCTCATGAGAAAAGTAGTAGAAAATTACGAAAATAGAATTAAGACTCAAATTAAGAAATTGAGACCGGGCGGTGGTGGCGCGCGCCTTTAATCCCAGCACTCGGGAGGCATAGCCAGGTGGATCTCTGTGAGTTCGAGGCCAGCCTGGGCTACCAAGTGAGTTCCAGGAAAGGCGCAAAGCTACACAGAGAAACCCTGTCTTGAAAAACCAAAAGAAATTGAGACTAGATCCTAGAGGGACAGGGTCCTGGTGAAGAGTATTGGCTGTACCTTAGGAGTCCTGGGACTCCCTTTAGCCCAGTTTCTGCTCCTCTTCCTTTTCCTCCTTTGCTTCTGCCACCCCACTTCCTCAGTTTTTCTTTTGAGATAAATTTTATGGATTTATTTCACTTAAATTGTTTTATGATTTTTTAAGTTACTATACAAAAATAGCAGGTTTGACTATTTCCATTCGTGTCTTTATACTTTGTCGTAATTTGTCCTCCTCCTCCATAGCCCTTCCTTATCTTCCTTATGCCTCAGCTCCCCGTGTGTGTGTGTGTGTGTGTGTGTGTGTGTGTGTGTGTGTGTGTGTGTACCAACGAGTTTAACTGGGGATACTTATATAGGCTTGTAGGAACACTGGTAATTTATCCATTTTTTTTTTTGTTTGTGTTTTCTTTTTGAGACAGTCTCACTGTGTAGTCCTAGCTGGTCTGAAGCTCATTGTGTAGACAGGCTGGCTTTGAACTTACAGAGCTCTGCCTGCCTTTGACTCCTGAGTGGTGGGATTAGAGGTGTGAGCCATCATACCCAAGCTTAGCTTCTTAAACTATGGATCATGATACCATATAGGATCACATAACTAAATGTGAGTGTTCTGAGAAACTTGATAATGATTTCTGGATGTGCAAAGAGTAAAAGTTAATTGAAAATTAAATATGTAATGAATCCTGGAAGTGCTCACCTGCGTTGTGCTGGTGACTTCACTGCAGCCCTGGCTCTGGGCACAGACATATGCACTTTGCTCACTACACAGTGCCAAAAAACGGTGCCTGAAATACCTTGGCTCGGGTTCAAGACTATTGTTTGTCATAAACCACAGTATTTTCTCTGTATGTACAAAGTTTTCTGCTTCTCTAGAAACATGATTTAATTATGGGAAACAAAGGCTTTCAATATTTTCCTACTGTCATTCTTAATTACCGTGTATCAAAATAGTTTTTATCTTGGATTGCATTGTGTTGAATGTTCGATTTTGAAAATTGCTGTTTGAATTTCTGACTTAAGTTTCACACCAAAAAAATCATTAAATGTATTTTGACTTTTGGCTTGAAACACATTTTTCAGCAATTTCTGAAATGGTTCTAAATGTGTTTTTTCATATTATGTAATATGTTATGTTACAGAAGAATATGTTATGTTAATTTTCTTTTTTTTTTGTTTTTTTTGTTATGTTAATTTTCAACATGGACATTGTAAAATTAAACCACTGATGAACTCTGAGAAACATTAAAGATGGCCCTACTGTATCATACATGCAGCCAAGCTTTAATTCTCATGTGTGTATAATGATAATGTGTTTGTGTATGTGTGTGTGCATACTTTTTCACACATGTGAGCGCAGGTATGTGGGTGCTACAGCATGCATGTGTAGGTCAGATAATGTCTGGTGTTGATTTTTACCTTCTACTGTGTTGGAGACAGAGTTATTTCATTGCTTTTCTCTAGGAATGCTAGCGTACCTGGCCCTTGTGGTCCCAAGGTTTCTCCTGTTTCCACCTCCCATTTGCTGGATAAGCACTAGGGTTGCAGACACATACTACCTTGCCTGACTATAAATGGATTCCGGTGAGTCAAGCTCAGTTCCTCATACTTGTGTGGCAAGCACTTAACCCATGAACCATTTCCTCAGTCCCAAGTTTTATTCTTTATGTAAAAATAAACAAACATATTCATCTTAACAGTATGCAATTGCCTTAGTCTTTAAGAAATGATAAAACTATGTGTATACTAATTACGTATTTGTGACTTATTATCAGTAAATGTTTGATTTGTATGCCTATTATGCATTCTTATACATCCAAATGTGATGAGTAGCTTTATGTCCACTTGACACAAGCTAAAGTCATGTGAGAGGAGGGAATCTCAATTGAGAAAATGCCTGTAGGACATTTTATTAATTAGTGATCCATGGGGAGGGCCCAATCCATTGTGGGTTGTGCCATACCTGGGCTGGTGGCCCTGAGTTCTATAAGAAAGGAGACTGAACAAGCCATGGGGAGCAAACTAGCAAGCAGCACCCCTCCATGGCCTCTGCATCAGCCCCTGCCTCCAGGATCCACCCTGTCTGAGTTCCTGTCCTGACTTCCTTCCATGATGAGCAGTGATGGGAAGCGTAGGCTTGCCTTGGATCATGGTCTTTCATCACAGCAATAGTTACCCTCACTAAGACACCAGAGTGGCATACGTTTTCTCAGGTGAAAAAGGGTCCTATGTGGGGAGAATTTAAGAAGACTGGCTCTACAGTGTACAGCAGCTTTGAACCTTCTTCTAAGCTACATACAATGATGCTGTACAGCCTGCTACTCTTTACATTGTACTCAAGAAACCCGTTTTCTTTAAAAATATTAAAACATTCAACTCCCTAAAGTTTTTCTTACCCAAAGAAGTGCAGTTTGAGCCGGGCAGTGGTGGCGCACGCCTTTAATCCCAGCACTCGGGAGGCAGAGCCAGGCGGATCTCTGTGAGTTCGAGGCCAGCCTGGACTACCAAGTGAGTTCCAGGAAAGGCGCAAAAGCTACACAGAGAAACCCTGTCTCGAAAAACCAAAAAAAAAAAAAAAAAAAAAAAAAAAAAAAAAAAAAAAAAAAAAAAAAAGAAGTGCAGTTTGTAAGAGGAGAAGATTTCACCATGCAGAATAGACTGGACTCCATGCGTCAGTGGCCAGGAGGTCAGAGCAGTCTATCACTGTGGTCTGAATATGAAGCCATAGTGACTACAGCTTCTGGCAGTGACTGAAATGCCCAGAAGAAGAGTGTTAGAATTCCGTTTGAAGACCCCTGTGCTTTAAGCACACTGTAGGAGGACATGCAAGTGTGACTCAGGGGTTTATCTAAATGTGTAATTTATTTAAAAATTATTTTATGGATATGAGTGTTTGCCTGTATGTAAGTATATACACCATATGCATGCCTGATGTCCAAAGAGGCCAGAAGATGGCACTGGATCCCTTGGAACCGAGTTACCGATGATTGTGAGCCACCATGCCGGGAATTGAACCTGGGTCCTCCGCAAGAGCAGCCCGTTTTCTTAACCTTTGAGCTGTCTCTTCAGGCCCTAGTCTCTGTATTGCTAAAAGTTTTGTGGCTCCATTCTGATTTTGCTGCTTTCCTGTCTAGGTGGAATACTACCCTCCTCATTCTCTCCCAGATGAAATTCCCTTCATCCTTTGGATCCACATCCTTTTGGTCACCTCCTAAAGCCTATCCATCAGAGCTACAGTCTTACAGGGACAACCTTTTACAGGAATAACTCGTTTCTTTAGAAGATGTCTTGTGTCATTTCCATCTCCTACCAGGATGTGCACTCCTAGATGAAAAGACCCTGGAGTGGCCTTGTGTTCTCTGCAGTACCCCACCCATGGGTGTCACCTAGAGAAGGCAGGAGGAAGTCATGCAACATGCACTCTGAGGCACGTCACTATATACTCTTAATACCCGAGAAAACACTAGATGGGGTGCTTTATTTGTCCACAGTGGTCACAACATTGTAAAAATGTAAACTACTTCAGTTAAAGGTGTGAAAATCACACGCTCTGTGTTTACACCTGCAGTTTCCAAGCCGCTGTGCAGCTGTGAATAACCAGCATGATTCTCCTTCCTGAATTTTAACTAAACATTGCGTCTACTGCCTCAACTATCCAGTGACTGCCTCAGAGCTAAATCCCACTCACTTGGAGTTCCCCGATTGTTTGCGGAGATTGAATGACTTGTGATTTAACTGTGTGTGACTAGCTTAACTTAACAATAACTCTATGTGATTTCAACAGACTCATTAGTCTGAGCTAATGACTTCATCCTTCGAAACTTAACGAATTAGAACTCACTCAGTGGGATGACTCGGTACTCAGGAGTGGGTTCGCGACTCATAATGCAATTGCTTCTGACTTAATTCTAGCAGAGGACAGGGAGGCGGCAGAAGCGGTGATTCTGGGCTCAGGTTTGCTTAGTGTTTTATTCCTGCATTGTTCACTGAAGCCCTTGGCAGCTGCAGCTCAGTCACCGGCCAGTGTAAGGACAGCTCCTGCTCTCTTGGGAGAGTGGAAACAGACAAACATGATGTCAGGCATGCAGAAACCCTTTGCTATACTCCCTCGCCCTTTGGGTTCAAAAAGCCTAACTCCTCTGTATAAGATTCAGGAAAATGACAATATGTAACATTATTCAATTACATCCAAACAATTCTTGGAACTTGGCAATCACAAAGCAGAGCCTCATGGTGAGCAGAAGCAAAGCAAAGGCCGTATTTTCCTGCAACTAACAATTTCTTCCTATAGTAAAGGTAGGTGGGCGGAGGTGGGGGTGTGGGGGGAGTGGGATATCTACTTTCTGTGACTTCTGCACTCTGTGGGAAGCCTGAGCTGTTTCTTCGGTTCTCAGATCTCAGATGGCTTTGGGAAACAGGCTACAAAGAAGCACAGAGTCCCACAGTGAATTATTATTGGAACAGTCCATGTCTGGTATCCTCACCAATTTCATTTTCATAATTATATCGTGTTTGTGGTCAGTTTGGATATGCTATGGGAACAGCAGACCAGGGCAAGGAAGCAAGTGTCCCCATTACTCCTGCAATATGGGAAGACCATGGTGCCCATCAGTGAGCAAACACTCAGTACTCACCCAGCTTTGCCAACGTAAGCACCATTTTGTCACTGGCTTTCAGAACAATAATTGTTGCTGCTTTGGAAGAGGGACTGCTATAAGGAACTTTTCTTTAAAATATACTCATTTTCCCCCTAGGTTTGTTGACATATAACTTACAAATATTGTAATCCTTAAAGCATACAATGTGATTGCAGCTGTCAAGCTAATTAACACGTCCATCATACTCACACATAGTACAAAAGCAGTCTTAAAGGTATTTTAAATAATTGTGTACACGAAATGAAAGCTTTTTAAGGTGGGATTCTCACCTCTTCGTATCATGCTGCACTTTAGACTTGAGATTTTCGAAACGGGGTGCTCAGCCTATAAAGAACTTCCATATATGATTGCCAGCTGGGTTGGCATTAGATAAATGCGTACAGAACTCTACTAGAAAGGGATCAAAACCTGAGCAGCTTTGAACCAAACCTTCCTCTCAGATTCTTTGTGTTGAATTGCGATTCAGAAACTTTGAACTGGAGGCCACTCGAGCCTCTTAGGGTCACAGAAGACTTAGGAGGAATTCTGAATCCTCTGATGTGTTCCTGTGATGGCCCCTGGAAGCCCGTCTCTTAACAAGAACTTGTTCAGCCAACAGGAGCCAGGGGTCAAATTCTCTTACCTGGGCCTAGTCATGGGCAGGGAGGCTGTGGTCTTATTGTGTGTGACATAAGTAAGTAGCCTTGACACACACAGGTCAATGGAGGTTGAGGTTTGGCTTCCTTTCTAGTACACTGTCACGCTAGAGGTGGCCTTCTTGTCAGGCTGATATCAACTGGAAAGTGAGGATCATATAATTTACTTCTTACGATTAATTTTAGAAAAGTTTGTTGCAGAGATTTTTCAGGTGGGATAACTTTGCTGTTAGTCTTTCTTTTATTATCAAGGTATTTCCCATTATCTTTTTGTGTTTGAAACATATTATACCAGCTAGGATTAGGTCAGTCTGTCTATGACAATAAAACCCTGAGTCAATTGGACATGGCACAGCCTATCACTCAGCTCCTGGAAGAATGGGGTAGGAAGGTAGAGTGTTTGAGATTAGCTGGGTTATATAGAGAAACCCCACATTTCCTGTATGCTCCTATCTGTGGTTTTTTAACATTTTTTCATTTTCTTTGCTTAGAACTTTGTCTAGATCTACTTTATCTTCAAGGCCCTTGACTTTTCTAATTGGGATGTTAAGCTGCTCAATTCCATCTTCATTTCAGCCTATGTCCTCTTCAATGTTCAATCGCTTCATTGAATTTCCAACCTTGAGTTATCTTTCAGATGTGTGTTTGTATTTTCATGGACATCACGCAATCTTATATTGTTCCCCTCTTGGAGTTCAGTGGAGTGCTTATTGCTGTCTTCTTTAAATTCCTTGAATTCTTTCTTAAAGTTTGTGATTGTCCTTTTGAATTCTGTGTCCTGGGGTTCCTCTAGGTAGTTCTCATCAGAGAACACTTCTATAGGACTAATGGGTTTGACGGGAGAGAGACATGCTGATGGGTCATTCATGTTGTTTTTGTTTTTCCAATTTGATCTGGGCATGTGAACTGCTTTGGTTGTGTGTGTGTGTGTGTGTGTGTGTGTGTGTGTGTGTGTGTGTGTGTGTGTGTGTGATGTGATAACCAGGCCTTCCTTAGACTGGACCAGTACAGGAAATGGGAGACCTGTGCTAGGTCAAGTAAATCTGGTGGATGAGCTGCTTGATCAGACTAGGGAAAGATGGCTCCCAAACCACCTGTCTACCGGTAGGCCAGGCAAAGGAAGTTCACAAATGCTGGACATTGTTGTGACTCACATGCATCACTGCAAGGTAGGATTGTTGATTGCCTCCCCCTTGGCAGCTCGCAGACCACCTTCTAGTAGTGTGAGAGCTGGTCCTCAGTGAGGATGCTTCCTGGTCATTTCCAGCTTGGTGCTTCCAAGTCCTGGGTCCACAGTGTGGGATGTGTTCAGAAATAGGGGCTTAGTCTTCAAACTGGATAAGTCAATCAGAATCAACAGCAATAGCCTATATTATTTTGGGGGTCTTTTGAACTTCCCTGATAATTCAAAAGGAGGTTTGTCATGCCTGGTACTAGGATTTTTGTTAGTCTATGGCTCTTCCAGGAGCATTATCATACCAAGTGCCATAACTTTATTTAAACTACACACACACACACACACACACACACACACACACACACACACACACACACATACACACACGCACACACACACACACACACACTTTATGTAATTTTAAACATAAACAATATGATTCCCTTATGGCTTTTACAGACAGCCTTAGTGTTATATATCCCTCCTCTCTCCATCTCTCTGTATTTTCTTTCTTTCTCTAATTAAAACCCTCTCCCGTTTCCCCCATTTCCCCCCTTCACAGGCTTTTACCTTGCTGTTCCCCTCTCTAGATCTCTTCTGCTCCTACATGATCCATTTTTCTTTTCTGGTTCCTTCAGTTACTCCAGGTTATATACTCACATCTAAAGATTCAGAGCTTGGATCCACAAAGATAACATGTGGCCTTTGTCTTTCTGGGTCTGGGTTACCTCTTTCAGTATCATATTTTCTGGGTAAATCCATTTACCTGCAAATTTTATTACTTTATTTTTTAAAAAGTTGAATATAATTCCATTGTGTATATGTGCTACATTTTCATTATCAACAGTTAAAGGACATTGAGATTGTTTCAGTTTCCCAGCTATTTTGAACAGAGTGACAATGAATGCAGCTAAATAAGTATCTTGTGGAGTAGTAGAATGTCAAGTCCTTTGGGCATATGCCTTGGAGCAATATAGCTGGGTCATATGGTCGATTTATTTTTAGGTCTTTCAGAATTCTCCACACTGATTTCTATAGTGATGCTAAGGGTTCTCCTGCCTCACATCCTCTCCAGCAATCGCGGTCAGTTGCTTTGTTGATCTTGGCCATTCCGACTGGGGTGAGATTAAAATCTCAAAAGTAGTTTTAATTCGCATTTCCCTAATTGCTAAAGATGAACATCTTTAACGATGTTACTTAATCATTTTTATGTCTTTTTGAGAACTCTCTGTTCAGATCTGTCACCCATTAATTTCTTAGATTTATTTATTTTATCCCATGTGTATGACTATGAGTGCTTTGCTGTATATGCATGTGGACCACATATGTGCCTGGTGTCTGTGGAAGTCAGAGAAGGTGTTGAGTTTCATGAAATTGAAGTTAAGGGCAGTTGTGAGCCACTGTGTGGGTGCTGGGGACTAAACCCCAGCCCTCTATAAGAGCAATAGTTGCTCTCAACTGCTGAGCCAGCTCTCCAGCCTCCATTGCCCATTTTTTTTATTGGGTCATTTGTATTTTTGGTTTTTCAGTTCTTTATGTATTGTGGATCATAATCCTCTATCAGATGTATATACCTAGCAAATGTTCTTTCCCAGTCTATGGATTTCCCGATTGCTTGACTTTTTTTTTTTTTCCCTTTTACATACAGAAGCTTTTTAGCTTTATGAGGTTCCACTTGTCAATTGTAACTTAATTTCTGGGCAAAAGTGAGCTCTATTCAGAAAGTCCTTTCCTATACTTATATTGTGTGGGGTACTGCCTATGGTTTTATATAGCAGTTTTAGAGTTTCATGTTTCATATTGAGGTCTTTGATCCACTTGGAGTTTTTTGTTAGTTTGTTGTACAGGGTGATAGGTATCAGCTGTGATGTTTTAATGAGAAATGTCTCTCATTGTCTCAGACATTTGAATACTTGCTCTGAACCCAGTTGGTGGTACTGCTTGGTGAGGTTTAGGTAATGTGGCCTTGCCTCAGGATGTAGGGGGCAAGCTCTGAGTTTAAAAGCATCATGCTACTTCCAGTGTGCTCTCTCTGTTTTGTGCTTTTGGATCAAGATGTTAGTTCTCATGTTCTTGCCACTTGCTGCCATACTTTCCCCATTGTCATGGACTCTAACCCTCTGGAACCATAAGCCCAGATGAATTCTTTCTTCTGTAAGTTGCCATAGTCATGGTGCCTTATCACAATGGGGTGGTTTGAATGAAAATGGCCCCCATAGGGCCATAGGGAATGACACTATTAGGAGGTGTGGCCTTGTTGGAGGAAGTATGTCACTGGGGGTGGTCTTTGAGGTTTCAGATGCTCAAGTCAAGCCCACTGTCTCTCTCTTCCTGATGCCTGCTGATCCAGATGCAGAACTCTCAGCTCCTCTCCAGCACTATGTCTGCCTGCGTGATGTCATGCTTCCTACCATGATGACAACGGACTAAACCTCTGAGTTATAAGCTAGCCCCAAGTGAATGTTTTCCTTTATAAGAGATGCCGTGGTCGTAGCATCTCTTCACAGCAATATGACATTGACTAAGACATTCAGCATCAGAAAAGTGACTAATACATGGGTCTAATTTCATTCATCTAGATGTGAACCTCCAGTTCCTCTAGCACCATTTGTTGAAGATGTAGTTTCTCTGATATATGTTTTTTATATCTTTGTCAAATATTAGATGTTCACTCATATTTGGGTCTTCTATTTTGTTTTATAGTGTGCATGTCTATTTTTGTGCTGGTACCATGATTTTTTTATTACTATAACTCTGTTACATAACTTGAAACCTGGAATGGTAATCCCTCCAGAATTTTTGTTTCTGCTCAGGATTGCTTTGACT